CTGAGGAGTGGCTGGTGGCTTTGAACCACCAGCCTTCTGGTTAGCAGTCAAATGCCTAAGGCACTATGCCACCAGAGCTAGTAGTTGACATTGTTGTTGTTGTTGTTGTTTGCCGTCGAGTCAGCCCTGACTCATAGCGACTCCTCCTTGGGTTTCCAAGGCAATATCACTAAAGAAGTAGGATTGCCCAACCTTCCTTCCGAGGAGTGGCATTAGGACTCTCAAAAACCAGCATGTATGTGTGTGTGTGTGTGTGTATCTTTGTATTATGGGAATTTTTAAACATACGCAAAAGTTGTAAGAATAATATGACCTTCCAAGTCACTATATTCATAAATTTTCAACATTTTCCTACTGTTGGTTTAGCTACTTCCCACTTTTTTTTTCTTGGAATATTTAAAGTAAATCCCACACATCCTGTTTTTCACCCCTAAGTATTTTAATGCATTTCTTTGATTTTGAATTTTAAGTAAGAATTTAAGGCTGAAAAGAATTAAATTTTTTTTTTTTTTCTCTTCTGTGGCTGAAAGTAGATGGTTCTCCTCTTCATAATATACTAATAAATTTAGTTTTCCTAGGCTCATTCTTGTCCCCACAACTGCCCCCAAAACTCTTATTTTCTTTCTGTCAAAGCAGGAGTCACTATACTGATTCCAGTACTAACAGAGTATGTGGTAGCCACACAATTCATGTGTATGTATAAACCATCTACAATTTTTGCTTTCATTAACTATTTTCTTACCTGGTTGTGTAAGATTTTTACTTCAGGCATGAATCATCCCTTTCCTATTTCAGGCTTTATGAATTTCTACATTGTAGTGGAGTGGCTATTTGGAATATGAGTTAGTTAGTAAAAAGAAACTAAGTTGTTGGGGTAGGCCTAGGGTAGCATGATTTAGATTTTATCAGAATTAAGAATTGTTTTACTAACCTCAAATTCCTAATAACAAAGAACAAAACCCAGACCTGCTGGACTGGTTGAGACAGGAGGACATTTGAGACTGTCACCCTGAGATACTCTTCCAACCTTGAACTAAAACTAACCCCTGAAGTCATCTTATAGCTAGATAACAAGCTGGCTCAGAAAATAATGCCTATCACTAATAGGGACTGTGCTCCTTTAAAAAATCACCTGAGACTAAATGGTCACCAATTGCTTTAAAGCAAAGATTGAGAATGTAAGGAGGCAGAGAAACTAGATGAATGGAAACAGAACAACCAGGATGGATATAACGAGAGTATTCGCATTTTGTGACCAGTGTCACTGAACTGCTTGTGTAGAAGTTGTTGAATGCAAACCCAAACTGGTGCATAAACCTTCACCAAAAACATAATAAAATATTATTTTTTAAAAAATTTTTTAATGCGTTTTATTGAAATATAATTTATGTACAGTGAAATATACAAAACTAAAGTGACATGGGTCAATGCATTTTTTTTTTTTTTTTGCTGTGTTCCCTCCCCTCCCCTCCCACCCCTGGCAACCAACAAAGAAAGTTTACTTCCAAATATAAACCTTTCCTTGACTTTTTACAATAATGAGCTAATACTGTATTTGTCCTTCTGTGATTGACTTATTTCACTCAGCATAATGTCCCCCAAGTTCATCCATGTTATGTGATGTTTTGCACACTGTACATTATTCCTTAGCGCTGCATAACATTCCATTGCGTGTATATGCCATAGCTTGGTCATCTACTCTTCCGTTGATGGGCACATAGGTTATTTCCATCTTTTTGCTATTGTAAATAGTGGTGTGATGAACATGAGTGTGCATGTATCTGTTCCTATCCTGGCTCTCACCTCTCTAGGATATATACCTAGTAATGGGATTGCTGGGTCAAATGGTATCTCCAATTCCAGCTTTCTGAGGAATCACCATACTGCTTTCCACAGTGGTTGTATCACTTCACAGTCCCACCAGTAGTGTATGAGAGTCCCAATCTCTCCACATCCCCACCAAGATTTGTTATTTTCTGTCTCATTGAACCTTGCCATCAGTGCTGGGTTGAGATGGTATCTCCTTGTTGTTTTGATTTGTATCTTTCTGATGGCCAGTGATCGTGAGCATCTCTTCATGTGTTTGCTGGCCACCTGAATATCCTCCTTGATGAAGTGTCTATTCATGTTTTCTGCCCATTTTTCAATTGGATTGTTAATTCCTTTGGTATTGAGGCATTGGAGTTTTCTATAAATATATATAAAGAGATAAGTCCCTTGCCAGATGTGTAATTATCAACAAGTATTAATTTGTTGCTTTCATTTTGTTATGTGCTTTTACTTACTGTTGATTTCTTTGTTCCATATCATATAATTTTCTGTGCTGAGCTCATTTTGTTTATGAATCTTGTTATCACTTCCTTCGTTGCTATTGTTTTAGTATTTGCTAAATATTTGTGGTGGTCCTCTTTTTGATATTGATGTGAAGTGTTATCAGTTTTTTTGAGATTACCTTGTGATTTATAATTTTCTTCCCAAGTTTAGAATAGTCCGTTCTGTCTTGTAGTTGTCTTGACTTCCCTACCAGCTAGAAGTTCTGTAATGGCACAGTTTTTCCCCTCTTTTTGGTTTTTAGTTGTCTTCATTTGTCAATTAATGTCTCTGGTTCCCTGTATACAATCTTGTAGGTTTATTTACTTTAGGTTTATTTACTTTGGATATTTCCATAGCTGGGTTGGTTTCTGTGTTATGTCATCTTGTGTGTTAATGGTCGGTTGTTATTTGCTATTTTTGGTTCTCTGTTCAAAGGACCCCCTTTAGCATGTCTTTTAAAGTTGATCTGGTTTTAACAAATTCCCTTAATTTCTGCTTATCTGGAAATGTCCTAATTTCACCATCATATTTGAGGGGCAATTTTGCTGGGCACATAATTCTTGGTTGGAAATTTTTCTCTTTTAGGGCTTTATATATGCCATCCCGGGAGCTCTGGTAGCATAGTGGCTAAGGCACTTGACTGCTAACCAGACGGCTGGCGGTTCAAACCCACCAGCCACTCCTCGGAAGGAAGGTTGGGC